AAAACGGATGGTGCCTGATATGTTTTTGATTCTTCGCCAATCCATTCACGACAGACCATAAGCATTCGTAATTAAAAATAAATTCCGCTTGTTTTTTAAGGAGCTTTTTCTCAAAGTCGTAGAAAACTTAGCTGATCGATTAAAAATTCCTCGAATTTCTTCCTTTTTATCATTGAACTTTTTTGCGCTTGCCATTGTAGTCCGTCGCTGTGTCGCCACGGTCACTGCTACCATTAGAATTAGGAAAGTTTGGTCGAAATATCGCAATCAACCATGGCCATGTTCAAAAGTTAGATTCGTAGTTTGCCGTGGTTTTTGTATTTTTTTTTTCATGAGTCAGGTTGTCTGACGTCGATGTTCAGGACTCGACGTCATGCCATCAGCTAAACGCCCCATATCTGCTTTTTTACAACTAATGTCATAAGTATCGCGTTGATTGGTAATTGCTCCTCAACGCGACACGTAACCTCATTGTACCCCTCGCTGTTCGGACTGGTAACGATTACTACCGCTGATCGTTTTTCGGTAGCTCAGAAACGACAACCGCAGGTGTCAATTGCGACGCATTCCGCTAACGGCCTTCTGAGGCCGATATCCACAAAAAGCGGACACGTCCTTGTATGACTGTCAATATTGATCGATCGTGGTTTGTCCAATGGCCACATTCCGACGTTGCGTACAAACGTGCAAACGTACAAACGTATTTTTCCTCATGGGGATTTTGAGACCTATGTATAGTTCATTGTCGTTTATGATAGTGATGTTTTATAACGATTTACTTACGTCGAGAGGATCACTGGCTACTAAACAGGTTTGAAACCAGTTCAGTACAGCGGCAAGAACAAAATGCTTTGTCGCACCCATCAAAAAATCACGTTTCACTATGATCGTCGTTTAGAATTGTCTCATGTGTTTTGAAACTTATGCGTTGCCCTTTCTTGTAAGGTCATTCAAAGTACATTCAACCGTATGAACGGACATGAGTTTCGAATAATTTTCTTGAATGAATTTCGACTCTAGGCCCGTAATTAGTAGAGGTACCCTGCAGTAAAACAGAGATCGAAGAATTTTACCTGAAGATCGACGGGTTTCGTTACCAATACCGATAACTGAGATTGTGACCCTGATGATGACGCTGCTGCGCGAGTCGAAACGTGTCGGTGAAGTGAAGGAATTTACGCGTCCTTTTCAGTCGCCGCCTTGAACCATGGATCGAGATCCGAGGATCGTTAACTATTATCAGACAATGTTACTCGTATCAGTAACGAAACGCGTAGAACGTTGAGGGTAATTTTCCATGTTAATTTTACGCTAGCTTGCCTCCACGACGCATAAAGAAATTGGCCGTGGAAATAAGCTTTGACTCCCTGCATGTAGCCATTGAGACCCACAGTCATGGTAAATTTTCTTGCCGTTTATAACAAAGAGTAGTTTGACTTAAAGACTTCGCGGTCGGTCTTGGCACTACTCGAGATTTTTCACGTTCATACGCATAGCTTCAATGTTTTGCCCGTTTTTTCTTCCTCTTTGAGCATTTTATCTGTGCGAACGATCAGCCATTTGCCCTCAAATCCTAAGGCCGATAACCGTTTAAATCACTCGCCACACATTAATCTCGTTCTTGATAGCATCAGTTGCTTTTGCTTCGACTTCTTTCCCTTTTTACCTTCTACCGCCACTTTCCTGTCCAAAAGTTCTTTTTTTTCTAGCATGCTTCATTTCGACAAAGTTGCAAAAATGAACAACCACTTTTCGACTGTATTGCTTTGACTGCACCTCTGCAGCCACAGAACTCATCACAGCTTGATTTTCAACCAGTACACATAAATTAATTTCGAAACGTACGGGGGAAATGTGATGATGCCGTACAATTCATTAAGAAATTCGTTGCTGTTCGTTCATGCAGTTTGAGAAAGTAAAACTCTGGCATATTCACATGGTTCCTCTGCCATAATCTTCACTCAGAACCAGACTGCAGACTGAATTGCTTAGTTACCTTTGAGCAAAGAATGAACGACAGCTGGGGAATATGGTGATGTTACTTTTCACATGTGGAACGTCTGATTTGCGACATTAGTTGCATTGTTAGCTTTCGTATGTTAAACATTGATTATAGGGTCATGCACGGACAGATTCATGCATAAACGCCGATCTGCT